TTCTCATGCACAGAAATTAAATTTTGTAAAATGCTTTATCTTCCTCTACTGAGGTAATCAGTGTAATATTTTTTCTCCTTTATTCTGTTAATTTGGCAAATTTCAACGATTCAGTAATGTTATTAAGTACATACAAATTGATAATTTTTTCATCTTTCTAGTGAATTAAACCTTTTAGCATTAGGAAATGACCTCTTTGTGCCAAGTCATGTTTTGTCTTTCTTAAAGACTATTTTTTTCTGCTATTCATGTAGCAAAAAGTGACCCTGTGTTTACTAGGTACTGGCTATTCATTTATTCATTCACTCATTTACTCATTCATTCTTTAAAAATATTTACCTGAGTAGCATCAAGGTCATGGGCACTGGACCTCAACTGTCAGAACTGTGTGTAAACTTGTACAACTTATTTAACTTCTCTTTTACATGTAGAGAGAAAGCCTCGGATTCCTTGTTTGTGAATTTCTTCCTTCAGTTTGGGAAATTTCATCTCTTCAAATATTGCTTCTACTCAGACTTTCTCTTCACTCCTTCAGAGACTCCAATTTAACATGTTGGACCTTCCCACTATGTGTTCTATGTCATAATCTTCTCCTCTGTATTTTCCATCCTTTAGTCTTTCCTTGCTTTGTGCTAGTTTCTTCTGGTCTATCTTCCGGTGTGCTAATTCTCTCTTCAGCTGCACCTTAACTGCAATTAAACCTTGAGTTCTTAATATTGAGTTCTTAATATTGGACAAAATTTTTCAATTCTAGAACTGCTAGTTGGTTCTTTTTAAACTAAGTAGTACTACTTTTTATAATTTCCAGCTCCTTACTTAAAGGTTTAAGAGTGGCTTTTAACTTCACAAGCATGGTAAGCATTGATACTTTAAAGTACACGTCCTGTAATTACATGCTGACTTGTAATTATTTCTGAAGTACCTGTGGGTTTGTTTCTGATGTCCATTGTTCATGTAGGTCCTTCATCATGTTACCTTATCTCCTCATGTGTCCATTTATATTTTGTATACTATATTTCAAATTTGCACATTTATTTGTAGAAATATTTTCAAGTATACAATGATACTGTCCTTCTCCAAAGAGGATTTTCCTTTGCTTTTGTCAGATATCAGTACCTCTAGTGATCCAGGGTCACCTTAATTCAAAGTTGGGGATTAAAATATCCTGGGCAATCTAAATAACTTGACTCTGGGTTACAGTCTGTATAACCAGTTTGGGCTGGTTCCCTTCCATTTCACTAACATTTCTTCAGTGTGGCTTTTTGGGTCCCAACCTTAAGTGTGGAATGGTTTATCTTCACCCATAATGAATGATGAACTCAAATTTCTGTCTCCTGACAGCTTCAGGCTGTCAAAAGACCTGCTCAGGCTTTCAACCATCCCCTCTGAATCAAGCAATACTCCCTAGGTAAAAGCAGCTTAAAGGCTGGGCATGAACCATGAGCTCAAGAGTATGGCTTTCATTCGGTTGAATTAACATTGATTTGAATGAAATTTAACTTATATTCATTAAGCATAGCAAGTATGACCTAGGAACATATACCATACTAAATGTATGTGTGAGGATATGTTTATTTTCCTTTCAAAAAACCAATTATCCATGTAGGACCCTGGCTAAGGGTGTGAGTCTAAGAGTCTAATGGCCAGGACCTACCGTCTATAAATCGTGTCCTAGTTACTCATTTTCTCTGCCTCAGTTTCCTCATTTGTAAAATGATGATTATAATAGAATGTCTTGATTGAACTGTTGTGTGGATTGAGTGATATTACGCATAACAGTGTTCTTGATTCTGGCAATGGTAAGAATTCATAATTGTTAATAATTCTATTTATTATCACCTGCCATTTGCTGGGCACTCTGCTAGGCCCCACAAATGCAAAGGTGGTAAGAAGAAACTCTGTGGTCTCGTCCATGAGAAGGGCAATCACACAACCAGTGCCTGCAAAGGGTGGTGAGTGCTGGAGGGGCAGCAGCAAAGGAGGGGCACGTCTCCTGGGGCCCGAAAGACCCCTAGATTCAGTGGTTCACTAGGACAGCTCACGGACTCAGCCTATAGTTGTACCCATGACTGAGACTTACTGCAGTGAAAGGATTCAAAGCAAAATTAGCAATGGGAGAAGCTACAAGGGGTAAAATCCAGAGGAAACCAGGCACAACCTTCCAGAATCCCCTCCCCGTGGAGTCAAAGAGGATGCACTTCATTCACAAGAGTTGCGATAGCATGTGTGAAATGTCTACCAGGGATGCTATCCTGAGCTTAGAATCCAGGGTCTCCACTGGGATCAGTCAAACAGGCACACCCGCTTCCTGACATGTACCAAGATTCCAGATTCCAGGAAGGAGAGCAGATGTTCAGCTAAGCCACGGGGCACCTAATCAGACCCTGTGACCAGGGGCCTTATCAGAAAAGGAGACCTCGAATTGGTTTTTGGAACATGGTGGAGAGGTCCTGGGTAGAGAGGGGACGTGGTTGTTCTAACTGTGTTGGTGCATGGTGAGTTCAGGGACAGCAGGCAGGGACTTGGTTGGAAAGGATATGAGATACGGGTCCAGACCCTAGTGCAACAAAGTCGCTATCTCAGGGGCTGTGCTCATGGGGGATGACAGGTAAACTGTGGCTTAGATACTCTGCTGGGCTAACCAAACAGCTGGTGGGAGCCCAGGGTCAGAAATCCCCATGTTAGTCTGAGTGGCCCGGGGAAGGCTCCAGAGAAGGGATTATTTTGGAGGGATTGCAGGGTGAGGAGTCCATTCTGGTGTGAAAGTGACGAGATGGGGAAAGGGAGTGTCTTTAAAAAGCTTCTGGGCCCGGCACAGTTGCCTATACCTATAATTCCAGCGCATTGAGAGGTCAAGGCAGCCAAAGCCCTTGAGCTTAGGAGTTCAAGAGCAGCCTCTGCTACATGGTAAAACCCTGTCTCTACGAAAAATCTAAAAAATTAGCTGGGCATAGTGGCATGCACTCCTATAATCCCAGCTATTTGGGAGGCTGAGATGAGAGGATCACCTGAGCCCAGGAAGTCGAGGGCGAGATCACTCCCCTGAACTCCAGCCTGGGCGACAGAGAGAGATCCTGTCTCAAAACAAAACAATAAGCATCTGCATAATGAAACACGCGATGAGGTGCCATTGATGGGTGAATTAACGCACACACCAAAAGCCACCTTTATGAACATGATATGCAGGGAAAGTATAGACATGTAAACTGGAGAGGGATACTGACTTCACGGAGGTGGCTGTGTGAGGCTGAGAGGGAGGGGAAAGAATTGCAGGAAGCCGTGAAGAATTACAGCTTAACCCGTAAGGTTCCGTGTTTTTCTGTCTGTTTGTTTGTTTTTGATCTAGAGCAGGCGTCCCCAAACTACGGCGGCCCCCTGAGGCCATTTATCTGGCCCCCACCGCACTTCAGGAAGGGGCACCTCTTTCATTGGTGGTCAGTGAGAGGAGCACAGTATGTGGCGGCCCTCCAGCGGTCTGAGGGACAGTGAACTGGCCCCCTGTGTAAAAAGTTTGGGGATGCCTGATCTAGAGTGTCTCTGTGTCTCCCAAGTTGGGGTGCAATGACGTGATCTCGGCTCACTGCAACCTCTGCCTCCCAGGTTCAAGTGATTCTCCTGCCTCAGCCTCCTAAGTAGCTGGGACTACAGACATGCGCCACGACTAATTTTTGTATTTGTTAGTAGAGTCAGGGTTTCACCGTGTTTTGTTGGCCAGGATCCCGACCTCAGGCAGTCCTCCCAAAGCGCTGGGATTGCAGGCATGAGCCACCACACTCGGCTACCTGTAAGGTTCCATTTTTTAAATAAAAACACACAAAAAAGATGCAAATATTGCATCTATAGGTGTTTCATATTATTATCTATGGTGTGGGTTTGTTTTTCGTAGTTTTTAGAAAGGTATTGGGGCAGGGGAGGTGGGACGAAGGCAACAGAATGAGACGGCCGGTGCCACCTCTGAGCTGACTGGAAGCCCTGCTGGGTGGTCCTGAGTGTGAGGGGAACAGAGATCCTCCATAGACCTGAGGCTTCAGTATAACTCACCTAAGTACGGAGGGTGGAGGGAAGGCAGAGAGACCAGTGGGGATTGTGAAAATAACCTGGACAGTGACCCAGGGGAGACCCAAATGGTGGTTTCAAGGCGATGCCAGAGATGAAGTGCTCACTGAGGAAGGAGAGCAGGTGTGAGGCTTGGCTGAGTGGGGCTGATGGCTCTAGGGTAGCGGGTGTATCCCAAGACTATGCATGCATGTGTGTGTGTGGGGGGGGGGAGTGTGTGTGCACAAGTATATATGAGTGTATTGTAATTCATGTGCACTTTATGTATAGAAGTGTGTGGGAGTGTGTGCATGGGTCGACAGGTGTGTGCAGGTGTGCATGTGTTCATGGGGATGTGCATGTCTGTGTGCATGTGTGTATATGTGCATGTGTGTGCAGGTGTGCATGTGTTCATGTGGATGTGCATTCTGTGTGCATGTGTGTATATGTGCGTGTCTGTGTGCATGTGTGTATATGTGCATGTGTTCATGTGGATGTGCATGTGTGTATATGTGTGTGTGTATATGTGCATGTATGTGAAGGTGTGCATGTGTTCATGTGGATGTGTATGTCTGTGTGCATGTGTGTATGTGCATGTGTGTATATGTGCATGTATGTGCATGCATGTATGTGTGCATGTATGTGGAGGTGTGTATGTATTCATTTGCATGTGTATGTGTGCATGTGTGTATGTGCATGTGTATATGTGCATGTGTCTGCATGCATATGTGTATGAGTGCATGTGCATGTGTCTGTGTGTACAAATGTGTATGCATATGGGGGGTGTACTTGTATGTGTGTATATGTGTGTCTGTGCATGTTTGCATATGTGTGACTTCAGAGTTCCTGTCTGTGGATCTCCTTGTGTCTTGTGGGAGGCTTGTGGAGGAGAGGCAGAGAGGAGCTGAGGCCCCACACAGAGTCCTGCCGTGACCTATAACACCAGCTGTGGTTCTTGGCTTCAGGAGCTGTACTGCAGCACCATGGACACTTTCCAGAAGTTTGTGGACACCTTGTTCCTTCAGACGCTCCCTGGCATGACTGGCCTCCCCCCGGAAGAGTGTGACTACTTGAGGCAGGAAGTCCAGGAGAACGCTGCCTGGCAGCTGGGGAAATCGGATCACTTCCGGAGGCAGCAGTGGAAACTCTTCCAGGAGCTCCTAGAACAAGACCAGCAGGTGCGGGCATTTGGGAACCCAGGGGCTGGGGTCTGTATTTTAGAAATGCATGAAGAAGAGTGACAGATCTCACATGCTGAGCACCCACTAGTGCCTGTTGTAGCTGCTTTACAGGGATGACTGTTGCCTCCCTTTCACAGTGGCCCACCACGGGGTGGGATGAGAGAGCAGAGCCCTCATCTCCTGCAACAGGAAGTCGGAGATCATACCTTAAGTTGATCGGTCAAGAAAGAGCAGCAAAGCATGTTCTTTAGAATGAGAGGAATAGGTAGCCAACCAAATGGCAGAAAGGAAAGAGATTCACAGGGAGTGGGCTCTGTGGGAGTGGGGCAGCTGCATGCACAGGACTCCTGTTTTTCAGTGAGAGTCTGATTACTAAGACCACAGATATATGCTGAGACAGAATCATGACCCCCCCCACAAAGATATCTACACTGTGCTCCCTTGCACGGCAAAAGGCACTTTGCAGGTGGGGTTGAGTGAAGGATTTTGAGGTAGGGATGATTCTGGGTTATCCCAGCGAGCCCAGCCTAATTGCATGGGTTCTTATAGGAGGCAGGCAGAGGGGTGGGAGTCAGAGAAGGAGATTTGATGGTCTAAGCGGAGGTCGGAATGGTGTGGCTGTGAGCCTAGGAACTCTGGCTGGTTCTAGAAGATGGGAAGGTCAAGGAGCACATTCTCCCCATAGCCTCCAAAAAAGAACACAGCCCTCCTGACACCTTGATTTTAGCCTGTTAAGACCCGTTTTAGCCTTCTGGCCTCAAAACTATAAGATAATAGATTTGTGTTGTTTTCAGCCACAGCTGTGGCAATGTGTAACAGCAGCAATAGGAAACTAATACAAAACACACTGATGTTTTTGTTTTTGTTTTTTGGGTTTTTTTTTGTTTTTCCAAGATGGAGTCTCACTCTGTTGCCCAGGCTAGAGTGCAGTTGGTGCGATCTCAGCTCACCACAACCTTTGCCTCCCAGATTCAAGCGATTCTCCTGCCTCAGCCTCCATATTACAGGTGCGGGCCACTACACCTGGCTAATTTTTGTATTTTTAGTAGGGAAGGGATTTCACAACCATGTTGGCCAGGCTGATTCCAAACTCCTGAACTCAAGTGATCCACCCACCTCAGCCTCCCAAAGTGCTAGGATTACAGGCGTGAGCCACTGTGCCCAGCCCACGTTGATTTTGTCTTTAAAAAATTACACTGTTAAATAAAAGAAGGCATATTCAAATTCAGCATCCACCAAGACTGCCTACATGTCCTGTCTCCCGTGCCTTCTGCCCTCTAGAAGCTGTGAAACTAACATCCTTACTCTCCAGATCCCTTACAACTAGCCATGGCTGAGCAACACTGCTCTGGCCTTTGAGACAAGGCAAAGGGCTTCTCTTTCCTGATACAAAAGCCGGTTTTGCCTGGAGCAGCCCACTTCTTTATTGTCCCATTCTTCCTTCCTAGAACACACGGGAGGCCTGGAGGTGCATCAGCCTTCTTCTGCCTTTGAGGCAGCCTGTGTGAGCCTGGTGGGCTCCAGATGATAGCGCGGTCGGGACAGCCCCGAGCCCCTGGCGGTGCTGTTAAGCCATTGCCGCAGCCCTGAACTGCCCACCCCTAGATGCTGGTTGTCAGAAACAAACCCTGTTTCTTTAAGTTGGGTTTGCAGTTAGTTACAAAAGACCAATCTGACTGAAGCATCTAAAAGAGTTTTCCTGAAACGATTCCTTGGAGCAATAGAAAGTACAAAACAGATAGAGGAAGGCATTATGCAAACACACGACCACTCACAGCTGTGGGGACAGGCACAGGGCCTAGTTACCGGCCCAAATGAATTCTTAGACCTCCTTCTAGTTCATTCAGTCCTCTGTCAGTGGCCTCCAGTTGCCCCGTCATGGGGCAACTGTCCGTCTCCTGCATTTGGCTATGAGTTCCTTGAGGACAGCAACGCAGATTTTCATCTTTACACCGCCTGTGTAAAGCCCAGTGGCTGCAATATGGTAAAGGCTCAGGAAAACGAGTTCCATTTCCAGCAACAATAGTGCAGCTTTGGAAATGATGACAGCGTTGCCTTTGCCCTGTATTCTTCTAAGGGATCTAAACGAAGCTGAATTCCTCCAATTCATTCCGAATCCTGGACCGCAGACCAATTCATTTACAGTCCCTGCGGAGGGTGGAGGCCCTGAGCCTCAGTGTCTTAGAATCCAGCTGAGCCTAATGGGCCTCTGAAGTGGACCCACTAAATGTGCGTAGGGGCCTTTTAAAGACCATTGTGGTTTTGCAGCCAGGCCCCTAACCTCAGAAGTCCAAGACATGGGTTTGAGCCAGAGCAGACACATTAATGAGCTATGTGACTTTAGCCAGTGAGCTGACCTCTGGCAACTCTGTGACTTTACACAACTTGCTAAAAATGCCTCAGAACTCCAGCTTCTGTGTGAAAACGAAGGGTCGCAACACCCAAGTGATTGCTGTGAGATAATGCAAGTTAAGACCTTTTGCACGGTATCCATCAACTCATTTAATGCTGTTGACAGTGAAGGAATCCAGAATTTGACTTCTGATAAAACACCTGTGATTCATCTAAAACTCTCTGGTTATGAGTCTCAAGTTATTTTAGGCAAATAGTAGATTGTCCACAGCTCTGTTTTTTTATATTTTACTTGTTTACACTGTGAGCATATGATTGTCAATTTTTCTTGGCATGTGGGGAAGGTTTGGTTTCTGGCTGAGTTTTGCATGCAGGAAGCAGCAGAAGAGTTAATGACCTCATCAGCTGATTATATACGTATGACCCAAGACTGTTTTCTCAAGGTGTGTATGTCATAGTTAATTTACTGATTACTTAATTGCCTTAAATTAACACACGATAGTTAGAGATCCACTTGCCATGTTTCCCCGTCGATGGAAAAAATGAGAAATGAACTCTCTGCAGTTCAGATGAATATTAATCATGAGAAGAAAAGCACCAACAAAGCTATTCATGGAAAATCAAAACACATCGACTACAAATTGCCTTTCCACATCATTTTCTATCCAAAAAGGCCGTGGCAGTTTCACATCCCGTTGCTCAGGGAAGTTGTTAAAAATTATGGACTTTGTGAATTACGCTGTTGGAACGGGTTGTAGAATGCCGTTTCTCAAAATTTCATCTGCTCTAATGCAGACTTCTGGGCTTCTCCCAGTGCCCTTGCGGTAGGCAGCCACAATGGCCCCCAGGAGGCCCACGTCCTAGTCCCTAAAACTCATGACTATGTCTGGTTACAAGGCAAAAAGGACTTTACCAATGCGACCGTGAGATGGGGATATTCTCCCGATGATCCGGCTGGTCCCCATGTCATCACAAGGCTCATTGTAAGTGAAAAAGGACCCTCAGTGTCAGAGTAAGGCAGCGAGGAAGACTCTGCAGCCCTTGCTGGACTTGAAGATGCAGGAAGGGGCTGTGAGCCCAGGAATGCAAGTGCCCTCTAGGAACTGGAAAAGACAAGGAAATGGATCCTGCCCCAGCCCCTCAGGGTGGGGCGGCGTCTGACCTCTAGCAGTGTAGGGTAATAAGCGTTGTTTTCAGCCACCAAATGGGTGATACTTTGTTACAGCAGCCACAGGAAACTAACACACCAGTGGGTAGTCGTGGGGCAGGGAATGTGGCAGTTGGTACACTCTTGAGCATGACAGTAAAGAACGCCAAGGCTAGAGGCAGTCTGTCTGAGTTTGAATCCTGGCTCCCCACCTCACTCTGTCTGCACTCGACTCCAGATGGTTTCCATCGTTTCGTCACTGAGTCTTGCTCTCTCCACCAAGTGCCGAGCTCTCTGGCCTCCTCTTACTGGACTCGGGGGGTGGTGTTTGGCCATGCTGCTCTCTTCCCTCCTCCTTGAAACACCCTCTTGCCTCTTGCTTCTCCTCCCACCTCGCTGGTTTCTGCTTCTCACTCTCCTTCTGGCCCCTTCCCAGCTCCTTATTTTCTGAACACTGCAGAGCCCTGGGGTGCAGTCTGTAGCCCTCTTCTTTATCTATATCTGCCCTGCCTCAGGGGTCCCATCCAGTCACACACCATCTGTATTCGTTTTCTAATGCTGCGTTAACAAGTAACCAGCAGCTTAAAACCACATGCGCTTATTATCTCGCAATGTCCGTGGGTCAGAGGCCCAGGCAAGGTTTAACCAAGCCCTTTTGTTCAGGGCCTCTCACAAGTCCGCAGCCAATCCCTGGGCTGGGGCTGAGGTCTCATCTGAAGGTGTGACTGGAGAAGAGTCACTTCCGTGTTCACTCACATGGCTCTTGTCAGATTTTAGTCCCTCAAGGCCAGCAGCTTCCAAACTTATACCCTCAGCTCAGGAGCATTCCTGAACTCAGCTCTACACAAAGTCTCCGTTTAGATGACTGCTAGACCTGAGAAATTGGTGTGTCAAAAATAGCTGTTGCTCTTCCTGCCAACCTGCCTTACTCACAGCCTTCCTCCACTTTTCTACTAAATTGGGGCAAAAACTTTGGGGTCATCCTTGACTCCTCTTTCTTTCACACCCTACATTGGTTGCCAAGAAATCCTATTAGTTTTGCCTTCAGTCTAATCCTGAATGTCTAACCACTTCTCAGCACCTGCCCTCTTAGCACCCTGGTCAAAGCCACTGTGCCTCTTGCCTGGGTTACTGTAAGAGCTGACCAGCTGCTCTGCCTCCATTCTCAAGCCCCAGCCAGAGTGATACTTTTAAGATAAGATTGTCCGACCTACAGGCTGCATGCATTCCAGGATGGCTTGGAATGCAGCCCAACACAAACTTGTAAACTGTCTTAAAACATCATGTGATTTTTTTTTTGCATTTTTATTTTATTTTATTTTATTTTAGCTCACGAGCTGTCATTCATGTTAGTGCATTCTATGTGTGGCCCAAGTCAGTTCTTCTTCCAGTGTGGCCCAGGGAAGTCCAAAGATTGGACACCCCTGTTTTAAGACATCCTATTTGCCACTAATCTTTAGGATACACATTTAAAAATATTTTAACATCCCTGAAATCA